TATACAGTTCACTAAGCTCTAAGCACTCAGTGGTTTTTCCAGCCCAAAGTTCCAAATGTGTCCACGATCCTCCCCAAAACAACATGGTCTGTCTGTCATTCATCGCAATACCCCACATCTGATAGTGATTTCTATCTTAGTCTGCTTTCTGTTGCTGTAATAAAACACCATGACTAAAAGCGACTTGGAGAGGAAAGAGTTTGTTTCAGCTTAGTTTAGAGTCCATCATGGAGGGGAGTCAGGCAGAAACAGAGCAGAGGGTGTGGCGCAACAGTGTTTACTAGCTTGCTCCCTGTGCCTTTTTCAGACGGTTTACTTTGTTTTGTTTTGTTTTGAGACAGGGTTTCTTTCTTTGTAGCCCTGGCTGACCTGCAATTCACTCTGGAGACCAGGCTAGCCTCTTGAGTGGCTTCACCCTGCTTTCTTATGCCATTATAGCATGGGGTAACACCATCAACAGTGGGCTGTGTTCTACCACATCAGTCATCAATCAAGAAAATGGCCAGTGTGGTGGCTCACACCTTTAATCTTAGTACTTGGGAGGCAAATGGATACCTGTGAGTTTAAGGCTAGCCTGGTCTAAATAGTGAGTTCTAGTACAACCAGAGCTACATAGAGACCCTGTCTTTAAAAAAAAAAAAGAAAAGAAAAAAGAAAAGAGAGAGAGAAAGAAAGAGAAAAGATTAATCCCAGCACTCGGGAGGCAGAGCCAGGCGGATCTCTGTGAGTTCGAGGCCAGCCTGGGCTACCACTTGAGTTCCAGGAAAAGGCGCAAAGCTACACAGAGAAACCCTGTCTCGAAAAACCAAAAAAAAAAAAAAAAAAAAAGAGAGAAAAGAAAGAAAGAAAATGAGCCCATGGTGGCACATGCCTATAATATAGGCACTCTGGAGGCAGAGGCAAGCAGACTCTGTGAATGTGAGGCTAGCCTGGTCTACATAGTGAGTTCCAGGTCATGAGTTATATGGTGAGATTCTATCTCAAAAAGAAAAAGAAAGAAAAAAGTAATAGTGCCCCCATAGACTCTTCCATGGGCCGTCTGATGGAAACATTTTTTCAACTGAGATTCCCTCTTCCCAGGTGACTCCAGTTGGTGTCATGTTGACAAAAACTAACCAGCACAGAGCTGTATAAGTGTCTCTCTCAGTATAGTGTTTATATATTTGTGAATATGTATGTAATCTCAGACTCTGTACAGCCTTATTCTGTAGAAGCTAAGTAAACAACAGTTTTCAACCAATTTCATCAAAGAGAACGGTATTTCAGTGGTCTGTGTTTCAGTTATTCAGTGAGGGATGCAGAATTAGGTGGAGCTGCTAACACCTTAATATGTGCTTGGGAAGTGAGGATACCTTGTGTCAGGACGCGGGTGATCACAGAGACAACACAGGAGCTGACATAATGGTGCGTGAGTGAATTTAAAGGCCTTGAGGAAATGGGAAGTGCTGCTCCTGAATAGAATCGTACTCTGGAGCATGCTTTCTTGGACCACCAACCAGCTCCCAAATCAAGACACGCAGACTTACGAAAGCTTGGCCCTAGCTTAGGCTAGTCCCACTAGCTTTTATGACTTAATTTAACCTGTTTCTCTTCATCTCTGTTTTGCCTCAGGGCTTTTTACCTTTCTTTGATTCTGTATGTTCTACTTTTCCTGCTTCCTCTGTATCTGGCTGACTGCCGGCTGCCTGGCTAGCTGGCCTCTGGTGTGTCCCTCTCTCCCTTATTCTCTCTATTATTTATTCTCTGCCTGACAGCCCCGCCTAGCCTTCTCCTGCCTACCGATTGGCCATTCAGCTCTTTATTAGACCAATCAGGTGTGGCTTAGGCAGGCAAGGTAAAATAAATGCAACACATCTTTACATAGTTAAAGTATTATTCCACAACAGCAAGCTACTTCCAAAACTATAGAAACATCTGGCTTCCTGGACAGCCACCTAAGATTCTTCTGCAATGTTGGGGCATCCATCTTCAGTCTACAGACCTAGAATATCTGGCAGGCTTTTCTATGAAGCAGGAATTTTGAAGGACTGTCCTGCCTTGTTTTGGCAAAGTTCAGCAGTCACTTTTCTGTGTGTCCTGCATGTCCAGTGTGTACAGCACATTGTCAGCAGTCAAGGCAAGGGCAGTTTCTGCCCAAATGGCTAGCTTTGCCACAGTGAAAGCAAACGCCTCCATATGGAGTTTCTTCAATGCCCATCATCCTTTTTTGAAATAAATTGGTGCTGCCAGGAGCATAAAAGTCTTGCTGTCATGAAAAGCCTTAGGTTATTAAACATCTCTAATGCCATATTCTGTAGGTCTCTGAAGCATTTGAAGATCATGTATCTATCTAAAATGTATGTTTGACCTTGAAACATGACTACAAGTTTGATTACTATAGATGACTAACTACTAACCTGCATTTCTTAATTATATATTACATTTTTTTTTTTTTTTGGTTTTTCGAGACAGGGTTTCTCTGTGTAGCTTTGCGCCTTTCCTGGAACTCACTTGGTAGCCCAGGCTGGCCTCGAACTCACAGAGATCCGCCTGGCTCTGCCTCCCGAGTGCTGGGATTAAAGGCGTGTGCCACCACCGCCCGGCTATATATTACATTTTTTTTTTTTTTTTTTTTTTGGTTTTTCGAGACAGGGTTTCTCTGTGTAGCTTTGCGCCTTTCCTGGAACTCACTTGGTAGTCCAGGCTGGCCTCGAACTCACAGAGATCCGCCTGGCTCTGCCTCCCGAGTGCTGGGATTAAAGGCGTGCGCCACCACCGCCCGACTTATATATTACATTTTGAAACACCCTCAAACAAGAGTAGGAACATATATGCAGTATAACATAATTTTAAATTTGTATCAATATACCAAAATCCATACCAATGTAAAATATTTGAGGTTAATAGTTATCTTTTTATCCTATATTCTTCTATCTCCCCCTAAACGATGACAAACATCCATAACCTACTGAATGAACAAAACCACCACCCCAACTCTTAGAAATGTGGATGTTGTGTTCTCTTGACTGCTTCTGTTGTCTGAGGATGATGCCATCTTTAAGGGACCCTGAGAAAATTAAGATAATGGTCAAGTCCTGGGAAAAGTAGTTACAACCTTTGCTGTCCAGTCTCAGAACTGTTCCCATGCTGAGTGATCAGTATATAAGTCACCTGTCATCTACTTTTTTTGTTGTTGTTTTGTTTTGTTTATTTCTTTGTCTGTAGCCAAGATTTTTCAGGAAGTCTCCCCTGACCAAACCTGATCTTTGTTAACCTTGAAGGAATCCACAGCCTTTTGTTTCTTTTTTTTTTTTTTTTAGTTTTTGAGACAGGGTTTCTCTGTGTAGCTTTGCGCCTTTCTGGAACTCACTTGGTAGCCCAGGCTGGCCTCGAACTCACAGAGATCCGCCTGGCTCTGCCTCCCGAGTGCTGGGATTACAGGCGTGCGCCACCACCGCCCGGCAGCCTTTTGTTTCTTAATGGAAACAAAAGCATAACCTCCTCCCCAGTGCAATGCATTTTCTGAATTCCATTTTAAAGTTAAGTTTATCCCTAAAGTATCTAGGCTGGTTTAATTCAACAGTCCCTCTTAGCATCTATCATTCATTCATCATCATTCAGAAAATTCAAAGCAGCACATCATCACAGAATCCTGACTCCCTGTGTATTTCCCATCTTTATGTTATTGGTGAAATTATTAAGGCCACTCCACGTAGTTAAAAGGGAGATTTATTTAATGGCGAAACTTACAAATGAAGGCATAGGTAGGTTGTGAGTTCTGGGAAAGACGTAGCGCAGTCCAGCGGTGTTCTCTGGAGAACTCTCCTTGGTCTACCTCTAGCATCCCGGTCCAAGCAGGAAGAGAGGCAGCGCAACTGGATCTCGGGTCTTCAGGTCCTCTCTTCACCCCGCCTTGTAGTGCGTGACAGTTACCGAAGCCTCAATGGGGGTTGGAACTTCCAGATCAAAGCTGGAATGGCTACCCACTACATTATGTGACTTTTTTCCTTTATATTACCTTAATCTCTCTTTAAGGACTTCATTAGTTTTAAACTTTGGTTTTTTCCTATGACTGTCTGTACCCATTTTCTTTTCTTTTTTTTTCTTTTTTATATTTTTGGTTTTTTCGAGACAAGGTTTCTTCATGTAGTTTTGGTGCCTGTCCTGGATCTTGCTCTGTAGACCAGGCTGGCCTCGAACTCACAGAGATCCTCCTGCCCCTGCCTCCCGAGTGCTGGGATTGAAGGTGTGTGCCAATGCCACCCAGCAAGGAGACTTATGAATGCTTGGCCTTATCTTATGCTTGTCCCACTAGGTCTTGTAACTTAACCTGTTTCTCTTCATCTATGTTTTGCCTGGGGGCTTTTTTTTTTTTTTTTAAATTTTATTTATTATGTATACAGCGTTCTGCCTGCAGGCCAGAAGAGGGCTCCAGATCTCATTACAGATGATTGGGAACCGCCATGTGGTTGCTGGGAATTGAACTCAGGACCTCTGGAAGAATAGCCAATGCTTTTAACCACTGTGCTATCTCTCCAGCCCCGCCTGGGGGCTTTTTACCTTTTCTTTCCTTCTGCATGTCTTACTTTCACTGTTTCCTCCATGTCTGGCTGGCACCTCCTCTCATTTTCCCTTGTTCTCTTCTCTTTCCTCATCGTCTCTTGAGCCTAGATTCCCCCTACTTATTCTGTCTGCCTGCTAGCCCCACCTGCGCCTCTACTGTCTAGTTATTGGCCGTTCAGCTTTTTATTAGACCAATCAGGTGCCTTGGACAGGCAAGGTGAGACAGCAACATATCTTTACATCATTAAACAAATGCAGCATAAACAAAAGTAGTACATCTTTACCCAGTTAAAGTAATATTCCACAACAGGTTATCACAGTGGTTACTGCCACAGGCCACCCAGAGGCTGCAGTGTGGAAATGGGTAGATTCATGGCAGGGGGCATTTGAAGTTGTCACTGTTCCAGGAGGGCCAAACGGGGCTGGTAGCATGTAATTGGCATCTTCTGTCTTGGCAGATGAAGGGCGCTCTGATGGATATTATCCAACTGGCTACCCTGGACTCAGATCCCTGGGTCCTCATGGTTGCTGACATTCTGAAATCCTTTCCTGACACGGGTTCACTGAATCTAGACCTCGAGGAGCAGAACCCCAATGTTCAAGACATCTTAGGAGAACTTAGAGAAAAAGGTAAGTAGCCTATCTTTATTTTACAGTTGGAGGAAGGGGACCTCATTTTAGAAACTGGTTATCTGTATCACACCGTTGGTGTAATGTGCTGTGGCTCTCCTTTCTTGCATGCTTCAGTCTTCCCCAAGCGTGTGCTATGTCTGGAATTGTATGACTTTCTCGCATGCATGTGCTATGTCTGTCCCCATGCATGTGCTATGTCTGGAATTGTATGACTCATCCATGGTTTACTTGCCACTGCCGTCTCTCTCCATAAGCTCCTTGAGGATGAACACCTGCAGGTTATATCTTCAGATCCTAAAACATATATATCCTGTCCTAAATAACAAATGTAGAATCATAACTAAGAACCAACCAGTAAGTCGCTAGAATTTGAGGTGAAAACAGGAAAACAGTTGGTGTGATTTTAGAGCTGCGGCAGTGGGAATGTCCGTGCCTCTGATGCTCTCTCCCTGTTTGGAAAATGGAGGCTTGAGGATGCGCACTTCTAAATGGCTGCTTGGGAGGCCCTAGTACTTTAGGGGGTTTTGTTAATTTGTAGTTGCAGACTGGGAGCACTGGCCTGCACCAGTCACCTCCCTTCCTGGAGTGGCTGATTCTCCTGGGAGCAGGAAGATGAGGCAGCTGACTTCACTCATGTAGTTGATTGGGGCAGCTCCTTGGGGTATTTCAGGCTCTGACCTCTTGGGGACCACACTGAGTCTGGAAGCACACGTGGAGAGTTTTATAAGACTGCAATTGAGTAGTGTCTGGGGTGACCAGGCACCAGGACTCTGTAGTCAGAGGGAGAGGCCTTTCCTGGTGTTGAGGCTGCCGTGTAGTTAGGATGCAGGAGACTGGTCTCCATGCTGCTGTACGAAGTGTGCTGTGGTTCCTGGACCCCGTGGTCTGTGGCTTGCAGCTAACATAACTGAGGAATCCTTGTCTTGTCTTCTCACATTTCTTATCTTTAAGAAGCCCCTGGAGAGTCTGATGAGCCTTCCTCTAGGTGGCAGGCCTATCCTTTGGTCCTGACTCACTTGGATGATCTTGGATTCTAGGGATGGTAGAACTGGAGTGGTGGGAACCACAGGGGGGTTGAAACCAAAGCCAAAGCTGCCATGCTGGTAAATAATGAAAGCCTACATGGAGCCGTCTGCACATCTGCACGTGAGCTGTGAGGGTCACAGCCTGAGCTCCCTGCTGCAAGGACTCTGACTTCTTCCTGTGACACTCTGGTTCTCCACAGTGGGCGAGTGCGAGGCATCTGCCATGCTGCCACTGGAATGCCAGTACCTGAACAAGAGTGCCCTGACCACCCTCGCTGGGCCCCTCACCCCACCGGTGAAGCATTTTCAGCTGAAGCGGAAACCCAAGAGCGCCACCCTGCGGGCAGAGCTGCTGCAGAAGTGTGAGTGCCTGAGTTACAACAGTCCTGCTCTTTGCTCTGTGGTGTTTTCAGATGTGTTTACTTGAAAAGACATAGCTTGTCCTGTCTGTGTTGGATCTGCTGTTTAGAGACCTTAGGGTTTTCAAGCGTGGTTCCTGTAATCTCACAAAGTGGAATCTATGCCGGCCAAGATGGGGTGCGAGGCTGCTGCCTATGTCCTGACCTTGGTCTTGAGCCACATTTGGTCTTTATCATAGAAGATGCTGGATGATTTCATTAAATGCTTTCCCAGATCATGTCTTATAACAGTTTATATGGAAGGCACTTACTTGCTGGAAAAAGTGTCCTTTAGCCAAATAACATTAAAGCATGGGTTTTAAGTAGCCAGGTGTACTGTGGACCTGGGTTGCAGCTTCTTGAGATACTGAGGCAGAAAGATCACTTGAGCCCAGATAGGCTTAAGACCAGCCTAGGCAACATAGACATTTTCTTTTTCTTTCTTTTCTTTCTTTCTTTTTTTTTTTTTTTTTTTTTTTTTTTTTGGATTTTGGAGACCGGGTTTTCTCTATGTGCACCATTAAAAGTGTGTGCCACCACTGCCTGGGTCATAAACTATTATTTTGGCTATGCAGTTAACATTACTAATATTTGTAAATGGCGCTGCTGTTTTGTTTTGTGTTTGGAAAACAGTCTGTGTAGCCTAGGCTAGCTTGAGTTCCCCCTTCTCCTGCCTCAGCCTCCTGAATGCTGGGATCACAGGTGCTGTGGATATCGCTATATGTAAATAATCTCTGATTGGCCAATAGCTAGACAGGAAGTATAGGGGAACTAACAGAGAGGAGAACTGAGAAAGGCGGAAGGAAGAGAGACGGCCTGGAGCCGCCGCCAGGAGAAGGAGGATGTAAAGTACCGGTAAGCCATGAGCCACGAGGCAAAGTAAAGATTAATAGAAATGGCTAAATATAAGAGTGAGAGCTAGACAATGACAGGCCTGAGCTAATGGCCAAGCAGTTTAAATAATGTAAGAGTCTGTGTGTTTATTTTATAAGTGGGCTCTGGGACTGGCGGGACTTGGTGGCGAGAGCTGGAGAGAAATTCTCCAGCTACACACAGGCCTGCCCCAGGCCCAGCAGATACCGTTTTAAGGAATCTAAGAAGAGTCTGGAGCCGGGTGTGTCAGTGGGCTGGGGTTTGTGCTACCTGTCGCTCTGTGGTGCAGGCCGACTGAGCTCCTCTGAAAGGTCTCTGCAGAGCTGCCGCAGCCCTGCTGTTGGGAAGTCAGCGGTCCTGCCAGTGCACTCGGGCTAATCCTCCAGCCGTCCTGATGAGCCTTCAGGAAGATCTGCTCTTTCTCATATTTATGTAGACCTCGGGGAATCTGGGCCTGAGCCTGCTGTAAAGATAGCTGCAGGACCTGTGAGATATCAGCCCCTCTCAGGCTCCAGGGTCCCTGGGGCGCAACAGGTGACTGTGATGATTCTGGAGCCACTTATGTGGAAATTTCCAAACACAGAAAGTCTTGACTGTATTTGAACTTGTGTCAAGCTACTTAGTGATGGGGGAAGCTTAGACACATGGGCTTACTTACAACAGATGGTGGCTTTATTATTTGGTACTGCTTTATTACAGCTTCGATCATCTCTTTCTCTTGAACATTCAGCTCTTTCTCATAGTTGGCATTCTGTGCTAACGGAAGACTCCATCTTGCCGCTGTCTCTTAAATGCCCCATCACTACCCTCTTAAATACCCCATCGGTGCCCTCAAAGGTATTTTCTTGGCTTAGGTCATCACGTTAGAAAGCCAATGCAGTTTATAGGGAAATTTAATATTTTTTCTGTTGAGGGACACAAGAAGAGAAAAACTTCTGCAATACTACCTCGAAGTTAGTCCTTCCATGGCCAAGAGTCCCTGGGGGAATGGAGCAAAGTCGGGCAGAGGTCTGAGAGTCCACGGATGAAGACAGGCATCGAGTGGGGAACATCCAAGGGGAGAGACTTAGCCATGTGCTCATTTCAGGCTCTCTGTCCATCTAGGTGCTGCCTCAGGATCTGTTCCAAGACAATCTTTGGTTACCAGAGCAAAAGGAAGGCATCAGTGGATTGAGCTCCCCCGTTTTGGAGGAGATATAGTGGAGATTAAGTTGAACTTTAAGTGTTGCCCAATCAGCGTGTTCTCAGAAACACCTAGAAACAGGCCCCCAGGATGAGGCTTGGCTACCCAGAAGCCATGGAGTGAGTAGTTGGCCACCTCTGTCTTTCCCGCCAGGGAAACCAGAGCCTCCCCGTGCTGTAGTTCATTTCTCCTGTCACCGTCTGGCTACTCTGAGAACATTGATGAAGAGACAGGGTTTTTCTGTGTAGTCCTGGCTGTCTTGGAACGTGTTCTGTACACCAGGCTGGCCTCAAACTCAGAGATCTGCCTGCCTCTTCCTCCTGAGCCCTGAGATTCAAGGATGTGCCACCACTGCCCAGTGAAAAATAGACTTCTCAGAAGCTCTGACAATTACAAAGTAGCAAAAAAAATTTCTACTACTTCTTAGCTTAATGTTAGATTTTATACAGGCAATGGTTTATAAAATAAATCACCAGGAAACAGTCCCTCCTTTTTCTGTCTTTCTCTCTCTCTCTCTTTTTTTTTTTTTTTTTTTTGAGGAGTATTAGCTATAAGGTCAGTAGTGGCGTTACTGGCTGCATTCCTGCTGGGTTGTCAAAGAAGTCACCTTGGGTATTTTTTGATTCACTTTTGTTGAGGTTACTTTATTGGCTGAGCAGCCCTGTGATCTAAGAGACCCTTGACCCTGTTCCTTTTTTACACAGCCACTGAGACAGCCCAGCAGCTGAAGAGAAGCACCGGGGTGCCATTCCATGCCAAGGGCCGGGGGCTGCTCCGCAAGATGGATACTACAAGTAAGACTGTGTGTGCTCTCAGGCCAGTGCTCTTCTTGCTTGCCAGGCAGGGTGGTTTGACTTTTCCTCACCAGAACAACCTCAGACATTAGTCCTGACAGCTGAGACCCACTGGCCCTGCAGCTAGTAGATAGATATGTCTGAGGACAAGCGAGGCCATATGGCTTACCATTCTGCCATTATTACTGCAGGGCCCGATTCTTCCCTTGGTGTGGCTTTTTGCTGTAGCATAGGCTCCACCTTGCTTCCCATGCCCCTGAGGACAGGAACTGCACAAACTTTTCTTGAAGGAGGAATAGTTTGACCATCACTCTCTGTCACCTCTGACCCAGCTTGTAGCACAAGGCATCCCAAGTGATGACAGATGGACATAGGTACACCTTAACACAGAACTCAGATGCTGAGACACAAGGACAAGATGAAGTAGGGACAGTTCCTTCAGTGGGTGGCCCTCCAGTACTGAGAGACATGTAAGAAAAGTAGAAAGTCAGGATTCTGAGACTTGTTAAGGTCACACAGCTGAAGATAATAGCCTTTGTCCTTAGCAAGAATGTCAGTTGGTGTGTCTCACTCTTCTGGTCAGAGTTCGCCATCTGGATAGTTCTTGTCCTACGAGATTTGGAGGTCTCTGGTGTCTTAGACAACAGTCATCTTCCACTACTCCAGCCTCCCCAGAAAGGATATGAGTCATGCACATCCAGAGTACCCAGCCTGGGTCTTCCCAACAGACCTTCAGGGATGCTCTGAGGTTTGTGGGTCCCATCAGTGCAGTAACCTGGCACCAACAGTCTGAGTGGGGTTTTGTGTTTGTGGGTTGTTGTGTGTTGTTTTCATTACTTACTATTGTATGTGTATGGGTGTTTTGTGTGGGTGTATGTCTGTGCACATGTGTGCAGTGCTGCTGGAGGCCACAAGAGGGCATCAGATCCCCCTGGGACTGGAACTAACAGTGGGGCTGGGTATTGAGCCTCTGGAAGACTAGCCAGTGCCTGTAACCACTGAGCCTTTGCTCCAGCAGAATTTGGTTTTGTTGTTTTGTTTTTTCAAGACAGGGTTTCTCTATGTAGTTCTGACTATCCTGGAACTTGCTCTGGGAACCAGGCTGGCCTTGAACTCAGAGATCCACTTGCCTCTGCCTCCTGAGTGCTGCGATTAAAGGCGTGTACCACCACCGCTCTGCCCAGCCCCGAGTTCTTTTTAGTACAGAACAAAACGTACAAAGTGCAAAATGTGATAGGAGAGACTAACTTGTATGGGGCTCCCTGAGGCAGAGGCAGCCTTGCTCAGCCCACCCTGTACTCAGAAGCTGCTGTTACCACTGACATCAGTCTTTTCTGTAGCCCCTCTCAAAGGCATCCCGAAGCAAGCCCCCTTCAGAAGTCCCACCACACCCAGCGTCTTCAGCCCCTCTGGGAACCGGACCCCAATACCGCCTTCGAGGACACCACTGCAGAAAGAAAGGGGTGTAAAGGTGGGACATCCCTTTTCATGTCCTGGAAAGACCAAGCCTTGATTTTTGCTCTATAATTGAGTATGGAATGTGTTTATTTTGCCAGCTGCTGGATATTTCTGAGCTGAATACAGTTGGTGCTGGCCGAGAGGCAAAGAGGAGGAGGAAGACTTTAGGTGTGTATGGAGCATCTGAAGCCCGGAGGCACTGCAGCCTCGCGTGCTTGCGGTTGGTTCTGCTGTGTGTGTCTAGGTGCTTCGGGGTTTCCTCCCGGGTCCAGTATTTCCGAGTGCTTTATCTTAACACAGTGGTAATGGGACTTTTCCCCGGAGTCTTTTTTGGGGGAGGGAAGGGAGTGGCTTTTGAGACATGGTCTTACACTGCTGTCCAAGCTGGCCTCAAGCTTGTAGCTTTCCAAGTGTTAGGATTACAGGCTATAATGCCTGGCTCAAGGAATCACTTATGCTTTGCCCAGAGACCTGAAGATACAATGCTGCTTTGCATTTGACCTACTCAGAGGACACTTGTGACCTCTGAACTGGAGCTGGGTCAGAGAGACACTAACCAACTCTCTTTATTGACAGACACAGAGGTGGTGGAAAAGCCCACCAAGGAAGAGACCGTTGTTGAAAATGCCACCCCTGACTATGCTGCTGGCCTGGTGTCCACACAGGTAGGACTTCCATGCAGTGCAGCCATGGGCATTATGCTCCATAACCGCTTTCCACTGTTTCCGGCCCTGACACAGCCAAAATAATGTGCCCCATCTTGTCCTGATTGATAGCCACTAAGATGTGTTCTGTGAAAGTGTGTGTACAGATGTGTATGTATGTAAATGTATGTAAGTGGCAGAGCCTGACTTGGGCATCAACCTCGTGTTTGAAACGAATACCTGCTTTATACTGGGATTACTGCCTGGAGTGTCTCCATACCTCTGTACCTCACTTTCTTCTCTGTCCAGTGGGTATGGTTCTTGTTTAAGAGCTCAGTGCCCTGGAGACCAGGTCTTGCATGTAGGTTGGAAGGGTGAGTCAGCCAGAGCAGCTCTTCCCCAGAGGCTGGCTATGGAAATCGAAATAGGTTTTCAGAGACATAGGTGCAGAGTTTACATGTGTGGAGGCGGAGTGTGGCCCGGTTGCAGGGTGTGATCCGTCTCTGAGCTCCTTGCATTGCTGAACTTTTTCCATTTGTCAGTTTGGGACCATGGGGTGGTGGCCATGGCTTAAGTTTGGAGTCTAGCAGCCTGGAGAAGCCACTGTCCCTGTCCTGGGAATATGTATACCTGCTGTCTTGCTCCATTGATGGGGCAGGGGCTGATGGAGGCTGTCCAGATACCCCAGGGAGGTGTACTGAAACCCTGACCTCTGCCTGAAGTGATCATAGCCTCTGTCTTCCAGAAACTTGGGTCTTTGAATAGCGAGCCAGCACTTCCCTCCACAAGTTACCTGCCCTCTACCCCCAGTGTGGTACCGGCCTCCTCTTACATCCCCAGCTCTGAGACGCCTCCAGGTGAGTAGCCTGCAGTATGCTAAGCCAGTATTCCCTCAGCTCACACAAGGACTTGCCCTGGGGTTAGCGGGATTGAGCCTGAGCGTTTACACCTAGGAAGTAGCCTTGCTCACATGGTGCTGCTCAGCATGAAAGCGCCTGTCTCATTGTCTCTTGATCCAGCGTGGAGGGAGCTCCTGGCCAAGGAATAAGCCAGAAGTCCTGATTTGAGTCCACTTTCGACACCCTGTTCTCTGGGTGGGTGAGGAGCTGAGGATTGTCTCTTCCCAGAGGAAGGATACTACAGAGGGATAATCCCTTCAGGGTCAGACATACGCTTGGGTTAGTCAGTTGTTTGGGAGGTTGGTTCCATTGGGCTCAGCTTTGTCTATTGGTTAGTGGGTCAAGGGTCAGTTAAGCAGCCCTGCTGAGGCAAAGAGGATGCTAGGTTTGGGGAAGCTGCTTTCCAGTGTCTTGTCACCAGCACCCGGGTTATGGGAAGCTTGTCATAGACCAGGAGCTAGCCAGAGTCCTGGATAACTGAAATCTGTGGATCTAGAAATGCCTGAGGATATAGGTTCTGCCCTGCTGGGTAGTAGTGCACAGGGCTCATGTCCCTGGCTCTGCAGGCCTGCAAGGGCTTCTGGTCAGCAGCGGTGGGAGCAGGACAGGGTAGGCGGGTATAGGACCCAATTGCTGTCATGACCTAGAAGATGGAGTTGAGCCTGCTGCCTCTACAGAAAATGGTGTCTGGGGCAGACAGCCTGGAAAGTGGTGTGGGGTGAGTAGATTAGGGATGTACTCCCTTTCCTGGACAACTCTCCTCAGTAAACATGCTTTGCTTGCAGCCCCTCCTTCCCGGGAAGCCAGCCGACCACCTGAGGAGCCCAGTGCCCCAAGCCCTACACTGCCAGCTCAGTTTAAACAAAGGGCGCCTATGTATAACAGTGGCCTGAGCCCAGCTACGCCAACACCTGCAGCACCTACCTCACCTCTGACACCTACTACTCCCCCAGCTGCCACTCCCACTGCTCAGACATCCCCAGTGACCATGGTGGCCCCACAGACCCAGGCACCTGCCCCTGTTCAGCAGCAACCCAAGAAGAACCTGTCCCTCACGGTAGGTACCTGGCAGGTTTCATAACCATTAGGTGGATGGCATAGCTTTGCCTGTTTGCAGCTGGGGGTGTTTTGGGATGAGCCTGGCAGGGTCGGTGGGTGGAGGCAGGTGGCCCCAGCCGCCCCATCCTTTCTTTTTTTTTTTTTTTTTTTTTGGTTTTTCGAGACAGGGTTTCTCTGTGTAGCTTTGCGCCTTTCCTGGAACTCACTTGGTAGTCCAGGCTGGCCTCGAACTCACAGAGATCCGCCTGGCTCTGCCTCCCGAGTGCTGGGATTAAAGGCGTGCGCCACCACCGCCCGGCTACCCCATCCTTTCTTTACAGAGAGAACATATGTTTGCTGCCCGAGAGATGTTCAAGACGGCAAACAAGGTCACGCGGCCAGAGAAGGCCCTCATCCTGGGCTTCATGGCTGGCTCTCGAGGTACGTCTGTGCTACTAGGCCTGGAAGGTGCCCCCCATGGGTTGGGGGATGGGTTCCTTGGCCCCAGGCACCTGCCCAGCAGCCCCTGCTCCCTACAGAGAACCCATGCCCGGAGCAGGGGGATGTGATCCAGATCAAGCTCAGCGAGCACACAGAGGATCTGCCCAAGGCAGACGGCCAGGGCAGTACCACCATGCTAGTGGACACAGTGTTCGAGATGAACTACGCCACAGGCCAGTGGACACGCTTCAAGAAGTACAAGCCCATGACCAATGTGTCCTAAGTGCCATCTCTGCTGCTGACCTCATCAGGCCAGAAGACAAGTTTTGCTGGCTATTCTGAGTGACCCGAGTAGATACCCAAGGATGTGCTCTACCCAGCACCTGCCATGTACAGGCTCCTGGGCCCCAGGCTGTTTTAAGTTTTAGATCATTTCTCTGGGGAGTGTAGACTTTTTTTTTTTTTTTTAATTATAATGGGTTAGTTTTTGTGTGATTAAGATACTTTTTTTTTTAGGTTCAGTATTAATATTTTAATGCTAAACCAAAAAAGTTCATTTTAGTGCCTGTTAAGACTTTTACCTTTATTTTTTCTTCTAAAAAACTGCACTAGCTGAGAGGACTTTCTTTGCTTGTGCATGCCCTCCCTCATGAGGCTGAGGGGACCAAAGGTGACACCCGACCGGCTAGGCTGTGAGGGGGGCTATGACCAGCCTCAGTGCTACTGCCTGCCAGGGATTTGTGTGTGTTTTTTGTACAGTTGTAAACATTTCAAACCTGTCTCTGGGTACCTATTTTCACTGTCAAATGATGTGAGTATTAAAGTTTAGTTTTTCTAAAGAAAGCCCACAGAGCTGTGTTTCAAGCTAGCTTGACTCCCTGCTCTGGGACCAAACCCCTCCCTCTACAACTGTCAGGACCCCAGGGGAGGAGAGGCAGGGCTGGGAGATAACCAGACTACCTGAAAACAGGTAGGTAATGTCCATGGCACCCGTGGGGTGTTCACTCTGTAGAGTGAGGCCACAGTCACAGGCAGCAACCGGGAAAGTCAAGGCCACAGCTACAGCACTGAGAAATGGGCCTAAGCCTGCTGCCCAGAATTCGTAGCACCCAGGAAGTTGGTGGATTCAAACACAGTTCCATATAAAAAAAAGTATAAGAAAAAGGCCTTTAAAGTTTTTTAATAAAAAAATACTCAATACAGTTTTCCAAACACAACTTTTCCACTTTAAATGCTATTTTTCCCCAACTGGTAATTCTCGTCCATATTTCTTATTTCTCCCCCCTCCCCCCCCCAAACTTCAAGTTTTTAAGCCTTCACTATCAGACCTGGTGACAGTACCCAGCGTTCCGAAAAGGAACCTGACTTTATATTGTATGAAGTTTAGACACCATAGGCACATTTAAACTTAAATTTAATTTCTGATAGGACATTTCACATCTCAACAGGATCCGGTGACACCATGATACACATGGACACAGCATTTGATTCCACTAACAGTCATCAGCTACACTCCTTGTAGATGAAGATATTTGGCAACTGACAGTTGTTTGCATTAACTTTAAAACATTTTTATCTTTAATTCTTGAAAATAAGGTAGCTCTGAAGATGGGCACTTCACACAGTATGCTACAGGTATCACTTGGAAGTCATCAGAAATGCCAACCTGAGTGTGTCTGCCTGGGACCCAGAGACCTAGGTGCCAGTGCCAGGAAGTTTCTCAGGAACTAGCACCTGGATCCTCGTCACTCTTGGCTAGATGCACTGCCGTATGGGGGCCTAGGTTTAAATGTTGTAGCTCCACATACTCGTAGACCAACGCTGGCATGGACACTGGCTGTGCATCCCTGGACTGCTGCCACCCTGCAGAGCACACACATAGGTGTGTGCTGACTAGGGAACAGCTGGCTGGTTTTTGGATACTGAAGGTGTCTGAGGAATATGGAATCTGGGCAGGTTTCATTTGGTTTACTTCACATTAAGAAAAGAATTGGAGCTGATGCCCAGAAAGTCACATATCTTTCAGACTCTGTTATCAGAGCACCTGCCACATCCAGAGTCACAGCCCTGGCCCTGTGGCTGGTCCTTCTGTGGGAAAGGCCATCACCCCAGGTGTTACTTTACTCAGATTTGTATATTGGTCTTCGGTTGGTTTTCAGAGTTAGTGTTATTTACTCATAATACTTTTTGGGAAGGGGAAATTGTCTAAAAAGTTTACAGTATTTCCTTCAGAAAGATCATAAATAGTAATGTAGAACCAAAAATCCCAAGATTTCACTTAAGATTAAAAAAGAAAGTTAATCTGTTCCTCCAAAGTGTACTGCAAAACCAATTCGGATGCTCTTTCACAGAAGCCGCTCAGCTGGTGGAGAAGGAACAAGATGGACCCCCAGGGGGGCCATGTGCATGTGAGGAGGCTATCTGGCCTATCACTACATCAGCCTTCCAAACTTAGGGCATAGGTGACAGAATTGTATGAGCCAGTCTAGTACTTTTTAGAGGACAGTTTGAGCCAGGTTAAGTTCTAAACTGAAAAATGCTCCTGGTCTCATCTGGTCAAATAGATGACTCCAGAGGTAACTAGGCCTGTGCCTATGGAAGCCATAGGCTGCCTGCAAAGCTGCTTTAACTTTGGGGGCCAAAAGGATGGTCACTGGTCAGTACTCCTGACATGCTAGGCTTGTAGGTGTCGTGGCTGATGCTCGACCCTGACCACTGAGAATGGTCAGTCCTGGTCCAGATGAAAGCTGCAGTTCTAGAAGGCAGCAGGACAGCAGTGGGCGGCACCCTGCTGGGGACTGAGGAGAGTTGGAGCTTTCCTGCTTTGTGGCTTTCCTAAACCGGCCGCTGCTGCGCTGCATGCACCTCCCCTCCCAGTGGAAAACATGGGGTCTCCTTTCTCGGGGTTCATGCTCTCCAGGGCCAAGACACACTCCTGAGGAGGCAGAAGCAAGCCTGCCAAAGACCAGCTAATGGTCCTTGGGCTAGGGGGGCTTTAAAGTACCATCAGACCTTCTGCCGTGAGACCAGGTGGTGCCCTGGTGGAAAGAAATCGAGGGCAGCCTAGCTGGGGGCCTGACGAGCAGACGCACAACGGAAAGAGCCCGTCAGCCTCGGCTCCAGGCTGTGTGCCCGGTGTCCCGGGACCCTGGAGTTCCCTCCTGCTCACTCCATAGCTGGTATTGGCCCGACAGCTCACATACGTTCTAGCTGGAGACAGTTTGTGAAAGTGTTAGCAAACGTATGTATATTGGGGATAAATGTCAGAAACAGAAAAACCAAGGGAAGAAAATATACAAGGTTTCCCCCAAATGTTGGTCAAAGAAATCGGGTTGAGAAGACATCAGAGAGAAACAGCCAAAACAAAGGCAGCGGCCTGCTCTACAGGCCACACTGCCATTACTGGTCAAGTCCACAAAAGGAAAACCACGAGAGGAATCTTGAAACACCACAACCACTCAGAGTGGAAACAAAGCACTCTGAGGGAAAATTTCACATTAGTACAAAGAATGTGGCTGTGTCAAAAGAGCAAAATGATGATCAATCCTGACTGGGAGTAGCCCAGGGCCTGAGTCCCAGTCTGTCCTGAGGGGAGGGCAGTAGGTGAGGAGAAGCCTGAACCATCAGGATAGAGCTAGGGTGACCTTTAGGAAGTTCTAGTCTATATTTCCAGGTAAGATAAAAGCATTTCACATGCCAGTTAATCTTTAATCATAACTTTAATCTAAAATAAAAACGGGAGGGCACCTTGATGTTGGGTCTCAGATTCAAGTGTAGCAGCAGATGCTGCGTAGTAAGGCTTGTTTGTCCCGGACCACTGAGTACGCAGCTGACAGGCATCAGTGCGGACGCCGCAGCGCAGGCGCTGAGGATGGCTCAGTGGTGGGAGTGCTCCCTCCCACCCAAGGAGGCCTAGACATGTCAGAGCATAAGGAGCTGGGTCCTTGGGGCAAGTGCCGTGCTTGCCTTCCCGTTATGGGCAGGGCTGGCTGCCCCATGCCACCCCTGGATCTGACCAAGCGCTATTTGCCTTCTGTGACCCTTCTCCAACACCGCCTTCTCTTCCTCTTCCCCTTTGACTTCAGTGATTCTGGAAAGGGTTTCTCAGTCTTGGTACTTCTCGCAGATTCTGCCCTCAAGTCATGCTCACAGCAGTAGGATTGCCCATCCTGGGTGGAGCGGAAGGCAGTCCCATCTTGGTGTTCCTTACAGAATGAGTTGGGGCACAGGTGGCAAAATGAGGTAGAAGGTTTGCCACATACATCACAGTGATGCCAAGGACATTCCCACTTCCCTGCAAAAAAATACACCGTCAGCAAAGAGGAGTGGTAGAATCAGCGTCAGCGTTGTCGGGGCTGAGAGTAATGTTCTGAGGGTATGGACACTGAACCCAGAGGGCCTCAAGCATGTGTTCTAGTACTGAGTTAAAATCCACAGGGAATGTTTCCCAGGCTGACCTTGAACTAGCCATCCTCCTGCTTCAGCCTCAAGTTGGTGGGCAAATGGAAATACACCAGCATACCTAACTGAAAATTTTTAAAAATGGCTAGTCAAATACATGCAAATTACCACAACTGCATTTTAGTTGCCAGAGAGAAGCTAGCAGTTGGTGCTCAAAGAGCAGGCAGGTCCCGAGTGTTGCAGACTACAGTCTACATGCCTGCCAGCTTCAGCGAGCACTGCCAGACAACAGGAAACTCTATTAAGTTGATGCAAGCAGCATCAACTCTTAAAGGGCAAAGAAGGCCCAAGCACAGCACACTCAAGTCCTCAGGCTGGAAACAATGGAATGTATCCATGATGCCGATGCTATGCTGCCATAAGAAGGACAGGTACAGGCTGACAGTTCTGAGATAGCAATCTGCAAAATCACAAATCCAAGCACACAGTGGCCCTGGGAACTGACTCACTGAAATCCAAGTGCCCAAGCACTGTGAGAAATAAGAACCACTTATGGCTCAGAGCAGGAGATGGAAGGTGGGTACACAGCTGTACCCTTTTCCCTGAAAAACTCTAGACCAAATATACAAATCAGTAGCATCTCTGCTCTTCAGTGGTTATTTCCGAGATCAGGGATGAGTTGGTACAAAATTATGTGTCTGAATAGGGATGAATCTGTGCCAAGAGCACCCCTAGCTGTGCCTTGTGGAGCACAGAGCACTTCAAGGGGCAACCACACTGGATGACTATGCTTGCATCCCCCGATGGGTGCTAACCTTGAAGGTTTCTCTTGATAGTAAACATGTGGGTCCCTTGAGAAACCTGCAAGGCGAGCACCCATTGGGTGGTGCAAGCATAAAAAGCCAAACTTGGTGGGTAGATGCCTGTACTCCCAGGCACTTGGGATGCTAGGGAAGGAGACCTCTTCAGCCCAGGACTCAGAATTCACCTCAGGAGAATAAAAGCAGAAACACTATCAGGATGTAGCTCAGTGATGTGCTTTTTACTATACTAACACCCTAGCCAGTTCTGTCTTTGTGTTGTTACTGTTGTAAACTCCAAAGTTTTGTAGATGGCAGACAAACAATCCATCACTGAGTCCTATCTCAGCTCGATTTGTATATTTATCAGCTGGAGAAATGGCTCACAAGATCAAGGTACTTGCCATCAAGACCATGACCTGAGCTTGAAGCCTGGACCCCACACCATGGAAGGAAAGAAGTGACTTCTGCAGTTGTCTCTGACCTCCACAAGTGTACCATAGCATGCACAATCTCACACATGCACACAAAGTAAAGACATGGTTTTAAAAGTGCGCAGTGTGTGTGACTGCAGGCACATGTGCAAAGGTCAGGAACAAGTTTTTAGAACTTAGTTCTCTTCGTCCAGCTCATTTTGAGGCGGGGTTTCTGGTTTCTAACACTGCACGTGTACTCCAGCCTAGCTGACTTGACAGCTTTCCAACTGAATTGTTTTTAGACATTTTTATTTATGTGTTTGTTTCTCTGTGACTGTATGTTACATGAGTGAGGTTACGAACAGAGGCCAGGAAAGGGTGTTAGATCTGGAGCTGGAGTTACAGACAACTGGGAGCTGCCTGATGTGGGTCCTATGGATTGAATTTAGGTCCTCCAGAAAAACATTAAGGTGTGTGCATACGTGTGTACATGCATGCAGAGGCCTGGTCAACCTTGGATGCTATTTCTCTAGTTTTCCGTCTTGTTTTTCTTTTTAATATCCACTTATTTACTTACTGATTTGTTGTGTGTGCCTGTGT